GGTTCTTGGTTTAGCTTTTCTTCGTTTGACACTTTCGTACATTGGTTTTCTTCCTTCGATTCTTTTTATAATTTGCTTTCTTTTGTATCTTTTGACCCATTTGCCTGATAACCCGCTTATTTTGAGTAATGGCCCAAGTCGGTCCCACCCTGGTCATGTTGGTGGACCTTGACCGTTCAACCTGGAAAAACTTTTACACAAGGATGGTGACAAGGGCATAATTTTTTATATAATTTTTATTAATTATTAAAAAGAAAAAGATAAAATGATTTTTTTTTGTTGATTATACAATGAAAAGTAACTATTTTTTTTTTAATTTATCATACTCATATGTCATCCAACTTGAATTCAAAATTTTTTACTTATAAACAAAGAAAATTACTACTGAATTATTTAAATGATTAGTAAAAAGTTAAAATGTTACAAAATTTGAATTACATTAATTGTATAATTTTAATTATTAAATAAAATAAATTTCTCAATTTTAAGGATTTTTTCTCATTTAATAATATTTATTTTATAATTTAATATAATTTAGATTACAAAATATAAAATTTAATTAAAAATACTTACATTATAATATTAATAATTTTTCACTAAATTAAATGATGAATAGGGATTCTGCATTCTTTTTATTTTTATAAAAAAATAAATATTACTTAATTATTTGTGGTATCACTTAACAATTTCCTTTAAATACATATAGATTTTTTTTGTACATTTGATAGGTCTATTCAATTGGATGTAACTCTTATCCAAAAGCTCAAATTCCTTTATACTTGTGCATTTTTTTACACATTTTTAAACTTTTACAAAATATTATACTTATAATATTATGTAATATAATAAATTTATAATATAATATATTATTATATTATAAATTTATATAATTTAAAAATTTATTCGTAATATTATATATATTCACTGTTTTAATACTATATAAATTAAAAAATTATAATTTTATATGATATTATAATTATTATACCTTATCAAAACTTTTATCGGTAAAAAACAAATTTCACATCAACCTGTAAGAAAAAAATTACAAAAATATTTATAAAATTATTTAAATTAAAATAACATTTTGTGAGCTAGTGGAATTTTAAAAAGTATAAGTTATCCCTCCCTTGGGCAAAGAACATGGGTTTGGGATCTGGGTACAATAACCGTTTTCGCCAAGGAATGAAGGGCCCCCTAAACACATCATTCGGAATTGAATTTCCAAGAAAATCGTCTTCTTTTTTTGATATGTGTGGAAAAGCACTCTTTTTTCTTTTTCTTTTTTTTCTCTCTTTGGTTTTTGATTGTAAGAGGTGCGGAAATTTTAGAATTAAGAATCCCTCTTTTAGAATTAAGAATTCCTCTTTTAGTTTCCTTAGCATGCACGATGGTACACAAAGACAAAAGTTTAAAAAAACTGATGTGGTGGTGACGGAGCCAGAGGCAAGAGCCAGTCGCCAGTGGCTGTCCTCAATTGGAAAAAGTGGGCAAGTAGAAAAGAAAGTGTAAGTATGCAGGGTCCAAATTAAAAAACTGTCAGATGGTGGCTACAGCATCCCTTGGCAGGTAGAGCAGGTATATGGCACTGGCAGCGCATGTCGCCATCAGAGAAAGTGCTAACTGGCTGCCGTACTGTGTAATTCCATTTTTACCTGGGATAAAAACT